ACTTGCTAATTGTCTTCATGACTTGTTGCTACACTTTTGCATCATTCCATTCTTCTGTCTACATTAGTTTCTACAAATCCTTCCATACAATTGTCTATATAACAAATTAATAAAAATTATAATTATAACTTGTATACATATAACTTTAAATTCATATATATATATATTAATATTAATAATATCTTATTTGAATTGATATTTGTACTATTTTTATAGCCCAGCCTTCTACACCAAGAGTGCAACACATAGAAGTGATATAACAATATAGAACTATCTAGAAAAGTTTTCTCAACTGCTTTTATCTTCTCTCTAGCGTCATCAATTATAAATATATCAGGACTAAATTTTTCATTTGTATCTTTTAAAAAACTAAACCACTAATTTAACTTTAATGATCATTTGAATTTACTTATTAAAAATGCCACAGGGTACCTATTTCCTGTTATAGGATAGTGCATAATAATTGAGAAAAGATGATAACCATAGTGGTTCATCCTGTGTGTGCTATCTAGATACAAAACTCTTCCAATTTCAATTAAATTTTTTTGTTCTTTTGTCTGAAATACAAACAGGAAATCAAACTCATTATTTTGCTCAAATAAACAACTCCTACCAGTATTAATTAATTTTTTTTTCATTTTTTTAAAGAAATTAATTCATTTTTATTAAAATAAATTAATTTTTTTATTATATTATACACTATTGTGTATATATTATCCTGTGTTATAAAAGCATCTCGTAATATTTGAGCATCTTGTAAATAACTTTCAGTATCTATTCTAATCTGATCTTTAACTTCAACTGCTCTAAATCACAAAAGCTTCTGTATGCTAAAGGCATCCAGTCTTTCAAGAGCATGAGTTTGGATAAAGCTTTGAATATTTTCAAAAAGTGGCATTGTATATAAATCAGATAAATAGCCGGAATAGTAATTTGTATATTTGTAGTAATAGTATAGGATCACATTAGACAAATTAATAGAAAAAGTTACATGAATAAAGCTTTTGCAATTACACTTCTTAGTCTCCTTTTGTACAATTCTTGGCTTTTTATCTTGCAATACTTTTGTATATCCCATAAAGATGACAGTACCAATGCTCTGTCCACAAATTTTTCCATTTAGTACTGTATCAATTACTTCTACAATCATGCTTAACATAGCTTAATCCTCCTTTTTCAAAATCTTTAATCCATGTTACATATTCATTTAATGGAAGTGAATAGATTTTTGCTCTTTTATTATTTGATTCACTTGATTCACTTGATTCATTTGATTCACTTAATACCGAATTATCATCTTCTACTGATTTCTACACATAACCAACACTATCTGTTGCGTCAAGAATAGAATCAATTATATTATCTAAATCATCGTTATCAAACTCCATATCAATTTCTTGATTTTCCTTTTCAATATCGAGGATCTTATTAATATCAGGAGGTATTGACATAATACTTTAAAACAATTTCAATATTAATAACTAGACTTTTACATATAATAATCTTTAATTGAAACTCAAGTACTAACTACAGAAGAAATGTATATTTATGAGCTCTAATAATTAGAAACAGGCAGGCTTTTACTACCTTTTAGACGAGTGTGAGGCTATCACATAATAAAGTAGTGAAGAATATTTAAATATTTTTATGTAAAAATAAAATGGTTCAAGTATCAATTTTCTTATTTTTTTATTAAGGTAACATGCTAAAAATTATTCTTTTGTTGTTATTACGATCAAATACAAGAAAGAAGGCAGTCATTTAAGAAAATATTCAAATTAAAAGAAGTTTATAATGACATAATATCAATTTATGATGTTTTATAACGATTATGTTTTAGTTGCAAATTGCAATAGCATGTATGAATTTTATATTTGGTATTGGGGTTTAAGTCAGTTGAGTCAAGAACTACCTGATATTTGAATCAATTTATAATGTAAAATGGGAACTTGAGGATTTGAATCAATTTTTGTGGTGCAGAACTTCTTAATATCTTTAAAAAAAAAAACGGTGCCCAAATTTTTTTTTACTTTGAATGAAGATTCCTCAGCACTTACTTAGTCAAATTTGATAAATTTGGTTTTATTTAATTCTATAAGCTTATAGAATTGAAATAAAAAAATTTTAATCAAAGTTGACCAGGTAAGTGCCAAGTAATCTTCGTTCAAATCAAAAAAAAATTTGGGCGCAGCTTCTTTCCTAAAGACATCTAAACTTTGAATGAAGATTACTTGGCACTTACATAATCAAATTCGATCAAAATTTTTTTATTTTAATTTTATAAGCTTATAGAATTGAAATAAAAAAATTTGATCGAAATTGACCAGGTAAGTGCCGAGTAATCTTCATTCAAAGTTTAGATGTCTTTAAGAAAGAAACTATGCCCAAATTTTTTTTTTTTAACTTGTAATAAATATTTTCAACAACCTATTATTCAAATTCGAACAAAATTTTTTTATTTTAATTCTATAAATCAAAAGAATTAAAATATATTTTTTTTTATCAAATTTTAATAGCTGGTTATTAAAAAAATCATTGTTTAAAATTTCAAAGAAAAATTTTACCCAATTCTAATTTTGGGACACTTAAAGAATAATGAACCTAGTGATTATCACATCACGTGAAATTTTGGAATGACATCATTTGTTTACTAGCACTAACAAATTTGACCTGAACTATACTATCATCTAACCCTAACACTAACCCTAACTTAGGCTAAATGTTTAATCATGTGATGTGATGATCACGAAGATATCACTGGGTTCACTCTTCTTGAAACTACCCCTAATTTTTTTCAAGGTATTTTAAGTTTTTTTTTAAATTTTAGCAATTATTTCTTGATACCAGCTAAACCAAATTCAATGAACTTTTTTTTATTTTAATTCTACAAAACTATAGAATTAAAATAAAAAAAATTTAATGAATTTATTCATCTAGTTATTAAGAAATCATCGCTAGAAGTTTTAAAAAACTTTCGAATTTATTAATAGGATCTGCGCCTACAAATTTGTCCAATCAAAAATAGGAAGATCGACGCCCAATCAGAGAGTGGGGGGTAAATTAGTAAAACCAAAATTCCATTTACGTAGTAGAAACATCACCGGGACACGTTATGCACTGCTGCCAATTCATTAGGGAAATAGTAGATTTAAAAAAAAAATTCCAATCCAAGAAAAAGAATTAACAAGGCCGTAATAATTAATTAATCAAATGACAGTACGTACGTACTTAAATATGCAACGTACTCTACGTATATATCTAATATCAGGATATACAGTATATTACGATCATGTAAATGTACATTGTCGCTTTAATTATATAAATATAAGTTCTATTTGTTCTTAAACTTGCAGAATAATTTTGTTGAAAATTAAAATTACAATTATAAATAGTTATGATCATATCACAAAATAATATGAACAAAAAATATTGTTATACTTTTATTATTATTTCATTATTTATTTAATACAGATACAGATCGTTACGTAGGAGTTTATTACCAATACAGTCAAACCTTTCTAAGTGCACCATCTCTAAGTGCACACCCTTCCTAAATACACACTCTGACTTATAGCTAAAGTGCACCCTCTCTGCACGTGCATAAGTTTTTAAGAACCATACGTACATATATGTATTGAAAATTTGATAGATTTTACGCCCTCTCTAAATGCACGCCTACCTTCAACTAAGAAAGAGGTTGAATTTTTTTGTATATTTCTCTTTCTCTGATTGACTAGTTGAATTTTCCATAATTGCACACCCCATAAATCCACATTTTTCTCCGGCCCCACTTAAGGCTGTAATTTTTAATTTTTAAATCATTATACGTAGTCTTTGTATTTGTTTAAAAGCTACTACGTACGAAAATACCTGATTTATATATATTACTGCTACTGTATATCTTGGGTGTTAACGTTAAAAGCCTTTTTGGCTCTAGATAATATAAATCGGGTTTCCATTTTAATGCTTACTGACACAAATATTACATAGTGTCGTATCTTATAACTAGCGAATGAGTGCTAAATCTAATCAACGACATAAGAATTAATTAAATTTAATTACGCAACATACAGTATATCAATTATCAGGTGTTAATTTCTTGGCAGCCCTCAAATAATATATTATTACGTATTGATATAGGATCTACGACTATATTTATACTGTATATCCTAACGGGTTTGATCCGAACGAACCGAAGCTGACTTGGTTATAATAAATTTAGTATATGGGTCATGACCCATATACAGTATTTACTATAACCAAGTCAGTTTCGGGCGTTCAGAAACCCGTTAGGAGCACTACATATATAATTTTTATATGCTTTTTAATGCTAATTATCATCAAAATGTCATTTCTCTTTTGGCTTGAGAATTCTCAGAACATACGTACGCACTTCTTAAAGATTCACACATAAAACTTCTATAAAAGTTGTTAATGTCAATTCTTAATATGTTAATAAAGTTTTGCTACGTACGTATAAGATTTTAATTTAGATTTCTTAATATAGAGGATTTTCTACGTATTAAAAATTTTTTTTTGTATAATTATCATATGACAAATATGCGAAGCTGTTTTCTTAAGTTTTTCTTACGTATTACATATCATTTTATTTATTCTTTTTTCATTTTTATGCATTCCTACGTACTGTATGTATAGGTATTAACGTTAAGTATCGTTCATAATAGATCTTTCCGATAATCTTTGATAGTTTTTATCGTTATATCATCCTATATATCGTTAATTATGCTACGTAAATGTAGAGTTTCTTGGGCTAATTAACGTTAATCACTTCATTTGTATACCATTTATAGTTATAATACAGTAATAAAAGATAAGGGTATTCTATCTTGTGATCACATGACGAATAGAAAGTAGTATGATTTTCTACGTAACGATTAAATTTACCCGCTCTAGAATTGTACCTTTCAGTTTGTGCAACGCTCAATATTTCGTTATACTATTAACATTAAATAAAACCCCACTTACGTACGTATTGTACTATGCCAGCAGATCGAGCAATGCCGCCTCGTAATCAAAGAAATTCTAATAAAGCTACCAATGCTCGTAATCAAGGTGATGCTCAATCTTTTCCACCTAATCAACAACTTTCAAATAATGATTCACCTAAGCAGCGCAAAAAGAGAAACCAAATTTCCGACCAATTACAGCAACCTCAACAACAAAGGCAATCGGTTTTTGAGCGTTTGGGTACTAAAAATGCTACTGCGCCTTTATTAAGGCAGGCAAAGAATAAAAAAGAAATTAAAGACCATATTCCTATTAATGAACCTCGTAAATCTAGACGAATCTCTGACTCTCGGAAGGTTGGCTTTCTTTTTTTTAGTTACAAGTAAAAAAAAAACGCCTCACTTCATAATAAAAAAAAAAAACTTAATTCCTTGAATCTCAATCCGGTTTTTAAAAAAAAGGCTGAACGTGATTTATCTGAGGGTGAGATCTCACAAGAGGTTGGAAAATTTAAAGATCGTCAACAACCTATTGAGCCAAAGTCAAAAACGGACTCTTCCTTTAATAAGAATTCTGTTGAACCTATAAAGAATATTACTAGTAATTCTAAAAATACTTTTCGTGAAGATTTAAAATCTGAAAAATCTATTTTACATGATACTACTACTACTACTCCAAAAGACCATTCATCAACTAATTTAAAAGATTCAAAAGATACTATATCAAGGCACGAATATTACTATTATAATTATTATTTAATTATTTACTATTATTATTTTTATTTATTAATCTCGTATGGCTTTTTATGATGAATTTTTTTTTCTTAAATCTAATCAGTATATTGTCGAATTCATTTCATCAAATTAATAGGACTAGAGATACTGATAATGAACAGAATGGGGGAATTCAACATTCTTCATATGATACTATGTCACACGATGAAGTATCTATTCATGATAATCAAAATATCACTACTGAATTGGATAAAGTAAATATCCTTAATTTACAACAAAAAGTACATGATGAAAATTTATTATTATTATCATCATCTTCATCATCAATTGATAATAATAATAATAATTTAAATGAAATAACTATAAAAAAAAGAAAAATAAGTCATGATGATATAATTGAAGGTGAAGAATCTGAAGATGCTGCAAAAGAAGATGTTGTATCAATACAAGCAGATGATGATTTTTCTTTGCATAGTGATATTGATGATAATTATCCTGGTTATCTTTCTCCTCCTGATGATGGTCAATTACCAATGGATCAAGATTTTATTGATAATCATGAAAAAATTTCTTCGGATTCTATTCAAGGCCGTGAAAGAATTCGTGAAAAAGATTTAAGATTAAAAGATGATATTAATAATACTATTAAAAATTATCGTAATAGTCAAAATTCTGATGATAGTCGTATTTCTGATAAAGATAGAAATCTTGATCGTATTAATAGAGAACATCACGTACCTCCTCATAAAGATGATCGTAGAAGAATTGTTTATGATAGAGATTCTCGTGAGAAATTACGTGATGAAAGATATAATCGTACAAATGTTCCTATGAGAGATCATAGAGATCACAGACCTCATGAAATTGATCGTGATAGGCGTGAACGGGAACGTCAAGAACGTTATAATCAAAGTATTTTGGAAGATAAAGTTCATTTTGATCAACGTCGGAATGATAGGGATCGTTTTTTACGTGACGATAGAGGTGTACGTAATGAACATGGTAATAGAACTCCTACCGCTGATACTTCATCCAATAGTACTGTTCGAGGCGATACTTCCGAAAGGTTAATTACTAGAAGAGATGATCGACCTTCAAACGTTCGTCAAAAAAACGATGGTCAAAATGATTCTACTTTTCAAGACAATAGAAATCGAGATAGAGATCCTGGTCAAAGAAATATTCAACAAAATGTACAACCTGAACTTGATAGAACTGAAAAAAGGAAGAAAGAAGAATCTGAAATTATTACTACTGAACGTAAACAATATTTGGATAGGGAACAACGAAATGATTCTCTTCAACCAATTCAACGTCTTCCAGAATATCGTTCTAGGGAAAAGGATAGGGATGTTCGTCAACGTGATGAATTTATGACAAAAGATAATATGAGGTTAGGAATAAATAGGGATCAAGAACGAGAATTACCAAATCATAGAGATGATCGTGCTACTGGTCTTCCTGACCTTTACAGACCATCATCAGATCATCATCTTAGAGATCCTGATAGGCGTCCAATACGAGAATTTGATAGAAATTATAGAGATTTAAGAGGTGAACCTATTGGTATTGATAGATATCGTGGTGATTATAGTCGAGATAATAATCAAGGTCGCGATCGAATGCTTGATAATCATCCTCGAGAAATTGAACGACGTTTATCGTGGGATTTGGATAACCGTGGTGGTACAAGTAATTTTTCTGATAAAGATCAGATAGATCATCGAAGAGAAAGAGATCGAGAAAGAGCCCGTGAAGTTGGGCATAAAAGCAGAAGTACTTCTGCTGAATTAAAAGTTGATTCACATAAACATTTATATGACTTTCATCAACGTGAACCTGAACGGCGGATAGCTCGTGATGTTGAAAATGATCAAATGGTTCGCGTTAATAGGAATGAATCCGTTCGTCGAGCTGAAATTGATAGGCATTTACATTTTAACAATAATAAACATCATGATTCAAGTCATGATTTTTCGTTGGATGCTCTTCAACGTGAAGATCAAGATATAGATTTACAATCTAAAGATCAGATTATGGATGATGAGATATTACCTGAACCATGGCAAAAATGTATGTCAAGAAAAAATAAAGTTTATTATTTTAATCCATCAACGCGGGAGAGTCGTTGGACATTTCCAACCGAAGAATTTGGTAAAAGACCTTCGAATGAATCCGAAAGTAGCCGCCAGATATCACCTAGTGGTATGTCTTCGTTAAATTATTCCACACAACATAGATTAAGAAGATCTTCTAATGAAGACGACCGAAATATATATAATGGTGATGAAGATCTAATGGAAGCATCAATGGAAATTGATGAATTTAGAATGAATAATAGGAATTTGCGAGAATTTAATAATAAAACTGGTGAAAGAGCAGATTTAGAAAATGGTGTTCCTCAAACTGAAACACGCACGCCAAATGATGCTACAATTGAAACTGAACCAGGTGCTAATTTTATTGCATCAGATGAAGAAGCTTGGCGTACAGAAGATGATATGGTTGATGATGTACTTGCTGATACTGAGCCAGAATCACTTTTCCTATTTCGACGTTCAAGATCACCTAGTCCT